ATWYYAMAMAWRTKWRRARKKRAWTTTTTTGTCTGCCCKAAAGATAGGCAACCCGTCATACAGACGTGTATGAACAGTTTTGACTGGAAAAAAATTCCGTTCCAGTAGATGTCGCTCGCAAGCAACATTTTCAAAGTGTGTCTGGATGGTTGCATTCATACAGGCCCCGCGCATTTTTCTAATAATTACAAAGAAAGTAAATAATAAAACACTTAAAAAAATTGAACTCTAATATTGTCATTAATTTATGCATATTTTGAGAATAACATTAAGTATTTTATATGAAATAAAAATAAAAAATCATGTGTGCAGATCACACGTTTTCAAATGACACCCATTCTAAAGAAGTTTTCACTTCAACAAGCTAAGATAATTGATTGTAAAAATGTTGATTTCGTGCTTTGATTTTGTAGGTGAGAAAATTAGAAAAAAAAAGGGAAAAAAAGGGAGAAAAAATAGGTGAGCGTATAGATAGAAACGAGTTCAGGCGAGCGAGACTGAAAAAATTCAAAATGCGCATTCGAATGCGATCGAGTCTATCGGCTACAAAACGCGACGCGCTTTTATCAGCCCTCTATGTTTTTCCGTCGCGTTCAATTTGTCGAAGCTTTCGTCGGAGCTTTCGTCGGAGCTTTCATCGATGTTGCATAAATTCGAACAGAACATATACGACACGGCATTCACGCATCCCAGCATCCGGATTTATCGACTCGTCGTTCTCTTTTCTTTTCTTTTTCCTATTTTGTGTTTCTGTGCTTTTTGTTGCAATCCAAACGTACATACATACATACATACATATCTCACATACGTACTCGAAGCGAATTAGTATCCTAATTCGGTCCCGCTAATCGAGGGAAAACGCCATTCTCCCAATCCCAGCCATCTTCTGCTCAAAATACGATGCTTTATCGCGAAGCTCGAGTCCTCGGGACTGTCCGTGCAAATCGATATGTTAATCAGGATTTAGCTAGAACAACAACCTATCGTAAACTTGCCAGTTGGTCCAAGCCCACGAATTAGAAGCCTGAAATTGCCCAATGGACAGCTATCCTGCCTATAACTTGCAGATACGTCGGATAAAAACCATACGATTATTACTTTTTATCTACCTAATGTATCTACCTATAGATATCATTTTTAATGGAAAATTGTAGCCAGCTATATTGGACTGGAACAAAGTAGTAAGGAAGAGTAATGTAGACAAAGATATACCAAAGTCAAATAGTTTTAAAATAAAGAAAAATGTGTGCACTCTTAGGAGTGCAGCACGCCGCGGTCAATGATGCAGTCATAGAGGCCTTTCATTTATTTATCTTTCTCTAACTAACTTTTTGCCTTAGAACTATACTAGTCTGTACGTCTTAATTTCTCCTATGATTTTATGAGGAAAAATCTTTTCATTGAAATTACATCGAAACAGGGTGGTAACTTTGTACGTAACTTTGAAGGTAACTTTGAAGGTAACTTTGAAGGTAACTTTGTCGACAAAAGTTTTTCTCCACCGAGGCATGAATAAGGTGTTCCGATTTTAAAGAGCCACTGTTTAGAATAGCAAAGAAATAAAAGTCGTAGCATTGAAAAGTATGGATTTTGAGGTGTACATTGAATGTCGAGTTGAATATGAAGGGATGTAAATGGCCATTTCTGGTAATAATCGAAGCGGAGCGGAGCCGAAGTCGATGAGAAGCCAAAGTTGTGTGCGAATGAAAGAGACGTCGAATCAAGCATAGTCCGCTTTTGTGTTACAGGCATGGCGGAAAGTGGTAGGAGACATCCGGTTGTCCTCTACATTCATGGCGAAAGCTACGAGTGGGGAAGCGGAAATCCTTACGACGGTAGCGTCCTAGCCAGTTACACCGAGCAAGTGATCGTCACGATCAACTACAGACTGGGCGTGCTCGGCTTCCTGAACGCCAACGTGGCGCCTGAAACGAAGGCGAGGGTGGCGAATTACGGTCTGATGGACCAAATCGCGGCTCTGCACTGGGTCCAGCAGCATATAGCACTTTTTGGCGGCGATCCCGAGAACGTTAGCCTTATGGGACAGGGAACGGGGGCTGCTTGTGTACATTTTCTTGCCATCAGTCCAACCGTCATAAGAGGTGACACAAATCTTATAATAGAAAAATATCTAAAGTGGTGTATGGTAATTGGAACGAGATAGGAGAATCTCGTTTGACACGGTACTCTCTCGCGACAGTTCCATTCCGCGTACGTAACAAAATAATGCACTTTGTTCGGCACAAAGCCTTTCGTTTCGATCGAAAAGCTCTCCAAGTATCGAAGAAATCGGATTTCACGGGAAAGGCTACAAGAAGAGAGTTGTTACATATCGTTGAAGAAAATAAAGAAAAGGGATGTTTCATCGATTTCTAAATAACCCCTATATTATTACAGATACGTGTCTTTATTAATACGATATTGATCTTTCTTCTTTAAGCGGATTATTCATTAAAACATTACTTTATTGACCATTTTCATTTATTAATAAACTTTGAAAGTTTTTTCTTCTCTCCATCTGATATAATTTATGAGAGAAAAAGCTACAAGTTCATCGCGTAGCAACCGAGTGGGTTCCTATTTTAATTCTCTCTCTCTCTCTCTCTCTCTCTCTCCCTTTTTTTTGTAAAATTTTATGAGTTTGTAAAATTTGCAAACTATTTAAGTATGAAAGTGATCGAGCTATATACCGCTTGCTCTGTACCTCCTATACCCCTACTTTTAATAACGTCCGAAAAAGTAGTATAATCATTGAATAAAGTTTTTTTTTTTCTCGAAAAGTATTATATTATGATTGCATCGAGAATAAGAAGAAAATAAAAGTAGTAAATGGAAAGAACGGAAAAGAATACACGCGGTAGAAATCGTGCACGCGCGAATGCTCTCTCATAATGGCTAAAAGTATTTTCCAATAGAGATGAGATAAGGAAGAGCTCGATGGAAACCATACGGATAAAGAAATAAAGAGAAAGAAGGGATGAGTAATATTTCACACACATAATATCGCGAAAGGAAAGAAGAGAATCGAGATCTTACACGGATTCGATATCCTCTTCTTTCTCGAGAGGTGAGTTTAACGCGATCAGAAAGTGCCGTTCCTTCGAAAATGTTAACCGTCGACTCGACCATAGTGAGTTCCTTCGTTCCTTCGTTCCTTCGTTCCTTCCTTCCTTCCTTCCTTCGTTCCTTCCTTCCTTCGTTCCTTCGTTTCTCGATGAAGATGTTAAGAAAGATGAGAGCAATATCGAAAGGGCAACGTGTTACCAACTATCTACGTGCACGTGCCTTCCTTCATCGAATTTTTAACGTAGCAAAGAGGGATGGGAAAATGCTTCAAATTGTCTCAAACTACCAATAATATTTTTCACTTATTCTTCTTAATATCATACTAGAATCGATAAGCTACCGAATTATAACTTTATTTTTTGTAGATTATATTATTTTTGTATATTATACAAAAAAAAAAAAGTGCATTTGAAAATTGCAACTGGTGGTAACTTTAACACGATTGCTATTGGAAAACTTATTGAAGACATTTGAATGATTCTTTTTCAATGAAACTGAAATTCTATTCAAAATCAAGGGTTCTACAATTTTGATATTTTGTTTTAAGTGTTTCGTTTAAGTATCCATTCATATTGAATTCTATTGAATAAAAATCACCTACCAAGACTCTTGGAATGATGAAAAAGTGACATTAATGCTAATCTATTTTTTTCCTTATTTCTTATGTCCCGAATTTTTGGCAAATCAACTTAAAGATTTGGCAATGAATTCTGACACTTTGGAAATCGAAGTAGACGGTAAGCGAAGAACGTGACAACGCTGTTCTCTTAACTTGGTCAAAATGTCAAATTGTAAACTTCATTTTCCAGCAATTGTCATCGAAATTCTTAGGTCGCCTCGGTGGCTATTGGATTCGCGTATTGTCCTGTCATCCTACCTACCTACCTACCTACCTGACGTGCACTTTTTCCACTTGTATTTTTCCTCTTTTCTTTCTCCCCCGAGGGAAATGATCAAATTTCCCATTATCAATATAAATAGAACAAAGTAATCGATGTTAAATCTCGTTAATTGTAGAATAAGCAATAATAATAAGATCAAATTTATCGATCGGAAAAGAAAGATTGACCTTTTGGATTTAGGTCTGTTCAAAAGGGCGATACTTCTCTCAGGCAGTGCACTGTCTTCCTGGGCTGTAGTCGAAGATCCTGTGTTCTATGCGCTAAAGCTCGCTAGAGCGATAAATTGCTCCATTCCCGAAGATCTACTGAAGGACAACGAGCTGATAGTCGATTGCCTAAGGGAAAGCAGCCTCGAAGAATTGATGCAGATCGACATACAACCACCAACTTTCCTCAGCGCCTTTGGACCAAGTGTGGATGGGGTCGTTATTAGATCTGACTTTCAGAAAGATCTTTTATCCTATCTTGGACCAGAATTTCAGGGATTCGGGTACGCAACATTTCTTATAATTTCATTAATAGGAAATGTGTTCCAATGCTTCTTTTTTATGCACATATATTTTCAGACCACTCCCGAAAAAAGCTGAACACGGGGCACCCATAACGAGCAATAATAAATACGATCTATTGTTCGGCGTGACGACCAGCGAGGCTCTTTGGAAATTTGCAGAGAAGGATGTGCATCAAGGATTCGAAGGTGAAAGGAGAGACAGAATCATCAGGACTTACGTCAGAAATGCATACGTATATCATCTAACGGAGATATTTTATACGGTTAGAATCCATATTCATACTTTTCGCCATTCACAGGTTCAAAAGAATGACATTTTTCAATCAGTTGGACGATGCAATAAAAAACAAAAATGTAGTTGGAACAAAAAAAATACCTATGACTTTGAAAAACTCGTCATGAAGAATTTCTATATTAAATTAAAAGCTCGGAATGTTGTATAATATCGAGAAAATATTCGCAAATGAAAAAATGAAAAAAGAATATTATCGAAAGGTTGTTGTTTTTCTAGACGATGCTTATTTGAAAAAATTGCATTAACCTTTAATTACTTATCTCTGGTATCCTCTCCGGACATTCTCTCTGCTCGATAGAATGTGAAAATAACGGGGAATCGCCGGTGGGCAAAACGATAACCACCACGGCACAAAACGTCCATATAGGAGAAACAACCCATCGGTATATGAATTGTAAAAATCGTCCACCCTCTCCTCACCCATAATTCACAAATTATTTTCGTATCACACAAGCTACGATACGTCTCTTGGTCATAATAAATATTATATCATAATAAATATAGGTTTCGCAACGTTATCTGCAAACGTTGTTCGCCGATCGATCTCTCGACAACGGAGATACGTTGAAAAATAATGCAACTAAATATCTACCTATGCAATATCGATTGACAAATATTTATTTGTTCTTGTACAATTTGCTTCATTAGATTGAAACTAATTAATAGGGTGAAACTTTTGATTACATTTTGTTCAGGTCGTGAACGAATATTCGGATTGGGAACGGACTGTGCAGCATCCGGTGAATACGAAAGATGCATGTGTTCAGGCACTGAGCGATGCACAATTTGTAGCACCCCTCGTTCAAACTGGTGATCTTTTCACCCTAAGGCATACGAAGAAGCCAAATAATCCTCACATCGCTCCACCACCAGAGATCGAGAAGGAACCCATGCCAAAAACCTTCTTTTACGTTTTCGACTATCAGATGAAGGACGGCGACTATCCACAGGTAAATGAAAACTTTTGTAAATGGGTTCAAATGTATTATCCCATGATGCATGCATGAAAGGCTAAACAAAGGTAGAAATACAATTTGACGAGTGGTAACGACTTTGGACCTACAATATATATTTAGATATAAATGAAAAGTTTAGAATCGTGCAGAGTGATAATTTACGGGCGTCGTCGATATATGTCAAAGTTGTTCGCAATTGGAACGCAATTAACACGAACGAACTTTTATTTACCATGAGGAAATTTTTTCAACGCTAGAATCGTCGAATAAAACATACGCGCGCACGGAGAAACAAAACGTTCAACTCGCACTGTACACAATGATCGTTATTGTCCATCCACGGTACGTAATTCTGGAACAGAGTTTCCGGTTATCGCGGAATTTACAACGCGAAGCTTTTCAATTAATTAAGCGATTTCTCGTAAAACGCCGGCTCGACGGTACTTTCCCGTTATCGGAATATTTTTTCTACCGAAGCTATTTCAATTTCGTCATTGCAAACGATAAATTAACTGTGGAAAGAAAAACGTATGATTTCGAGCTGCACGCGGGACAAATATTATTTGTTATCTTCTCTTTTTTCAAAGCGTTATATATATATATATATATAATTACTTAATGAAGAATATTTATAACAATAGCAATTGTCTGCTAAATTACTTTGACAGAGAAACAATTTGATACGAAAAGATATTATAAAAGGTTTGTAATAAGCAGAATAATAACCTAGGCGCGTTAGGGTTGTAAGAGGAATTACGGTAGAAGTGTTTCACAACGTTCATACAAATAGTACAGCTAGCGTCGTCTGCTACTAGCTAAACTAGTATAACAACATTCTAACCATAGGTGATTCATGGATGCACATGAGAGGGAATCGCGTAGAATGTATTTCTACCCTGCGATAATATACGACGCGTGCATATTCCTAGTTACGCATTAGTTTCTCTCTCTCTCTCTCTCTCGTTGTCGAGAATGTCCCTAAGAAAGAAAGAAAGAAAGAAAGAAAGAAAGAAAGAAGAAAAAGAACAAATCTGATGGAAATGGTTTGAAATCACGAACAAAATCTTACGTAATTCAATCGGTCTGTGCATTATTTAAAATAAATTTCGTCGTTATTAGATTCACGAGGTAGTGCATATTTCTGTATATAAATTATTCCTTTCAGGTTTTCACTCGGAGAAAATCTCAATATGGTCTTTCTTTCCAACTACCGCAGGCATTCTCGAGCAGCTTCCGTCCGCTGATTTTCTTTACGGAGCTAATTAAGGACGAGTACGGCTTAATGAGCGCGGAAAAAGATCCACCTTGTAAAAATAAAACCGCGCGCGTTGCGTCTCGCGAATAAAAATAGAACGAACTCTTTTCCTCTGCCATAATGAAAAATGAAAGTGAACAAGCTCTATTCTTTCTTTCCCTTCTTCTTTCTTTTCATTACAAACTGAAACAGTACTAACCCTTCTACGCGTTATCTTATTTTTAATGATAATTTCCTTACACGCTTCGGCAATGTCATTATCTACATCTTCGCGTTCTATCTTTTTCATATTATTTATCTACTCAAATATTTCACGTTAAAAAAGGCATTTTTCTAGATAGAGACCATCTGAAAATAATGCTGCACCTTCCGGTCCTTCTACTAATATGTATAGTAGGATCGCGTGTAGGTTCGCGTATAGGTTCGCGTATAGGTTCGCGTGTAGGTTCGCGACGGGAAAATAATTGGGCGATAAAAGAACAATGGATGCTGCTCTCCTAAGCTTCCTCCCTTCGTTCTCTCCGTTGGTTGCAACTGGACAGTCGGCCGGCAATCCGGGCATTGTTCCACGAGGTCGTCGGGATGGAACCAGCGGCATTTCCGCTTACGAAGAATCGAAATGATTTCGCAACTGCACATCGGCTGGACGAAAAATTTCAAATGGCCCAGGAAAGCCGAAAGTGGCTTTTTCCATTTCAATTGAAATTCACTATCGTCTCGGACCTTACCCTTTTTAAAGTTAAACTGTGAACGCGTGAATCGATCAAACGCTGTGTACAATGATAGAAAGAATTATTCGTTTCTATATCGTTTCTATATCGTTTCTATATCGTTAAAGAGAAAATGATGAATGTAGGGGAAAAAACGTTTCGCTTAAAACGTTGCAATAAACATGGTTTTCTCTGTCCATCGGTCATGTTAAATGGGCTCAAAGATTTACTTGCTAACTCGATTGAATATAAAATAAAAAAATAAATTAACATATATATTACAAAATAATACTTTATATATAGAAAGGAAATTGACAATCCATAGAGCCAATATGCTCACACATCTACCTTTGCCAGATATATCACGAATTATGTAACTACATTCAACACTGTAATATCCCTGTAAACACTACAAGTACAACTATACATTCATGTATACTGGAATTACAGAATTACGATGCAGGAATCGGCAATAACGTCAATAAGATATTCATGGGAATATCGTGTAATTACCTCGTCATACTATGAGCTGTGCTTTCACATTAATCGAAGCCTATGTTGATAGTCGATATCGTTGTCGATTTCATTGCGTATAAACATATCGTTTACTAATTTCTATCCCAAATTCATGATTTTTCTTTAATACGAAAACAATATAAGAGACATTTAATATCGATGGAAAACATTTTGTTGAAAATTATTGTTATATAAATTGTATTTTCTTTTCAGTCAATGGTTGGAAAGAAAAAAAGTAAAAGTAAAAGGAAAGAACCGTTTATCGGGGGGAAAAAAAGTTGTAAACGAAGAAAGAAAAGATCGTAAAAAGAAAAAGGAAAGTCTTCATAAGAGAAATCTTTGGAAAAGACTGAGAAAATCTTGTTTATCGACGTGACACCGCATTAAGGGCGAGAAAAAGCGTTCAACTGGAAAGGGACGTTAAAATAATAGCAAATAAAATGGTGGTCGCGTAGCTAGTCTTGGTCTTCGGCAATTCGGCCTGCCAGCAATTTTCTAAGACTTTCAGGACAATCTTCGACCGAGAAAAAAAGAAAAAAATACAAGCAAAAAGAAAGAATGAGTTAAGAGAAGAAATAGGAAGAGGAAAAGGAAAAGTTTGATGACACACAACACAAACGATTTATCTTTTTTCTTTCTACTTGTTCTTTCTCCTCTTCTTTACCAGCATCTTCGGCAGTATTTCAGTTTCCACTCTCCAGGGGTGCCCGCCCCCATCTCGCCCCCATCATCTCGCCCCCATCTGTTGGAACAACCGTAGAGTAAATTACCCGTATCAAAGCGAGTTCGAAGGATCAGCTTTCAACGCTTCGATGCTCGTTACTTGGTTCGTCAGGATTTTCTTGAAAGCGCTAAGTGTTACAATCCGATTAACGAAAATACAATTTTAACAAAATGACCGACCGCGAGCCAAGAAGATAAAATAAATAAAGGAAACGGTTCGATTCATTCATTAATCTACATCATCTATATCGTTCGTATAATAGAAAAACTTTCTTTTAATTGGTCTAACAAAAAAGTAAAATACGACAGAGAGAAAGTTAGCATTTTTCATAATAAAATTTGGTCTCGCTGCTAATGTTAGGTAGCACCATCATCATCGCCGTCAACGGGATAAAAGGTTCTAACTCGCGTACATTAAAAGTTCTAAAGACTGCACGCGCCCATCATCTTTTAAACTACTACCCAAAACGAAAAACCTTTAACAGAATCTTCGTGAAAAAATGTTCCAAGTAAAAAGAAAAGTAAGAAAGTTTTATTGTATATTCTCTTCCATCAAGAATCATATTTACATTTACGAGCTAATAGAACAAAGAAAAGAGAAAATATAATCAATCTTTTATCAACAAATAATCTAATCAAATTGATTGATAGACAATTAATGAAGACATTCTATTCGCGTCTATGGGTAAATTTAATTTTTTCATTGAAACGTCAAATGACTATTTTCAATCCTTTTTATGGCAATTTGCAACAATAAACATACTTTCAATCGCGTTTATTTTTGAATCACCGAAAGCTCTCAAATGCGAATCGTACGATTATAATTAGAAACGATCGTGCAGTTTACATTACGGGACCGATAAAAGCCATTTCAATGATCAAAATTACGAGGCGAATTCGAATTAAAACGATTCGTTTATAACTATATCAGCGATATTCTCCGAAAAGTTGAACAATTATTTTCAGATAACTGTCTATTCAATCGCATTTCACAAATCCACTGGTTTTCACCGAAAACTCGCATCTCAGCTTAGTTAGCGGAAACGCGAACGTTGCGAGAAACTCCTAAATTAATAAATGATCGATCCTTCATCGATTTGCCTCCTCTATACATATCCCAAAGATTTCCTTTGATAATTAATACGTTTATAGATGGAGTAAGTCTCTTGGAAGCTGCAATATTCATTGACGAATGCAAGCGTGAATTATTTTTCCATTTTTTAAGTGTTTTATTATTTACTTTCTTTGTAATAATTATAAAAATGTGCGGAATGTTTTGTCTGCCCGAAAGATAAGCAACCCGTCATACATACGTGTATAAACAGTTTTGAGTGGACAAAAATTCCGTCCCAGTAGATGTCGCTCGCAAGCAACATTTTCAAAGTGTGTCTGGAAGGTTGCATTCATACAGGCCCTGCCTAGCATTTTTTATATAATTAAATTAATAATTAAATAAATAATTAGAAATTAAAAGTACTAATAATATTATAATAATATATGTAATATATGTGTGATATGCACACATGTTCTATTATATTTATTACAATGTGATATTATATACTATAGAGTAAAAGTCAACATTATATAATTACACATTGGAATTGAATAAAACGATCTATGGTAGGAACTTTGTGCGAGTCATTAAATCGTACAGAACTGACTGATGAAAATAGAAGCCTTAGGCTACATCCTCATCTATCGCTTTCGTATGCTTTTGTCTCTCCGTCGTTTTCATCCTTGTCGTCGTCCTTTCAGAAGACTTTAAACTTGTCCTCGGTACAAAGACGGTGAGTAAAGCGGCTCGAGGCACCTTCCAATTCTTCTATAGACTCTCCCCGTTAACGGTGCATTTCTTGCTCGTCTACGAACTTGGTCTATTAACTTCATGGGCTACGATGATCTATTCCGAAACCGTTAAATGTGAATCCGCAATGAGAAACAAGCCATCGAGCATAGTTCCGGAGCCTTCTTTATTATCAACTTACTCACTTTCAGTTAAAACTTTAAACTTACTCAAACTGTAATCATTCTTTATCAAATTGAAAGGTTGCCTAGGTTTGCACGCATTCGATATTACTTTAAATACTTACTAATACTAATACTAATACTTAATACATATTTTTTCCTTTTTTTAATAGTACGTGGAATAAGATAGAGCGAGAGAGAGAGAGAGAGAGAAAAGGGATAAGAGAAATCGTGAGAGCAGGGAAAGGACATAGAAACCAAATCCAAAACGCAAAGTTGCAAGGGAGGGCAGTGTACGTGTTGCGTATCCATCACTGTCTAACTGTAGAGAGAAGGTTCATCGAAGTTGTTTCACCAACTGGATTTCGTCATTGTCGAGAATCCAAGCTAACACACGGTATAGCAGTATATACATACTAGTGCGGCCTCTAATACCATTAATTTCATTACGAAACGTATGTACGGTGCACGCTTGGATATATCGGACCGATTCTACCTCCGTTTCCTCGAATTTCTACGGAGTTCACGATTCGAAACAATTTCTCTTACTAAGAAACTCCATCCCTTTCTCTTACCGATTTCTCTTATTAGATACTGACATAGATACTTTCCTATCTCGAGTTTATCTCGTGAAATAAGTTTAACTAAATAAAGAAACCCGACAAAGATTTTATACAAAAGTAAAAAATCCAACACTCCTAATAACAATTTAGAATATATTTCCTTATTTACATTAGAAAATGCATATAGATATTTGTGAATTGTGAAAAGTGTAAGAGTAAGGGGGCGTCGTGGAAGCTTTGAAAAGCAAATGCAGACTTATACAGGATACAGGATACAGGATTGCAAGATTATCAAATAAATATCAGGAAATACGTCTAAGTTTGAAGAGCTTTTTGCTGGTCTCGCATTTGTCTTTGAAGATGGCGAAAGGGAGGGACGATTACAAGAGCGAACGAAGTTACGATACTATCGGATTTAGGATCGCTCAAACGTTTCGAATTTGCGAGATCTCGAAAGCGAGAACATTTTGCGGATTGCGACTGCAGTACAATGTGGCCAAAGTCATTTATGAACGTATTTTAATTAAACAAGAGAACACATGATGAAGAAATTCCAATCGATAATTAGTTTTATAATATCATTATTTGAAGCAGCTCTCTTCATTCGGTCGATAAGAACAATTTCATGATAAAATCTAGTCGAATGAACGCAAAGAAAACGAACTAAGATCTTCCTTTAATCTTAATGCATCTTCCCTTTCTTTTTTTTCTTCCTATTACTCTTAAACTCTCTGACCTCAATTCCAATTGTCCCTTTTTTTCGTAGCCCGCTTCTTCTTCTTCTTCCCCTTCTTCTCTATTTCCTTTTGTTCGTCTCTACTTATATATGTGAGTATAAATCTACCAATTCAAAGCGCTTTCTTCTAAATCTATTAGAATATCAAAATGATATTAAAAATGTAATCATATTTCTACAAACTTGAGGAAATAGTCGAGAAGATATTATTTCATGATAAAAATGATCTGCAAGTTATTCATCATTTGATACTATTCAATGAAAATAGTCGTCGCTTGATTTAGACAATCTAATCAAAAGTATATATCGAAAAGATAGATAGCGCAAAGACGATTGCATCCATCGTGCGAAAGAGGACTCGATCTCGAAGCAATTTCATCGGTTAATGGTTCTTCGATACGCTGAAATCGAAACTATCGAACGCGATACTATTGAAATAATGGTAGAACCCTGAAGAAAAAACTAATTCATTTTTATAAATAAGAATAATTACGTTAATTGCTGTAACTAATTGTAGCAAATAAATAAATAAATATTTGAAGGAATATATAGAGAAATATTTCATGGCGGTAAATAAATATAAATGCTCGAACTGTTTGGTTTTTAGTTGAAAACGTTCGTTCCGTTTTCTTACAGAAATGTAACTAATCTCGCACGAAAGGAGTTGCCACAGAAATTGAATTACTCGTACGTGTCCTGTGCTAGGAAGCAGATAAATTCGCCACTGGGAGACGTTTGCCGGCGCGACGACAATCTTTCCGACATATTAACGCGTTATAGCTCCAAGTCCCGTCGTACACGCCAACGCGAGATCATAAATCCTCTTACCTCTTTATTGCTACGGCATTAAGAAACAAAAGGGTGGTACGGTAAAACGAACGGGATACGAAAGAAAAATACTTATAATCCATCAACTCGTCCGCGTCGTCTACGTCCATGTCGAGATTTTGATCAAATTAATACACCCCCCCAATGCAATATTAAACTCGATAATGCATTACTAATCTGCTTAGATTGCTTATCTACATTTGACTAGCACTTAACTTTCGCCAATAGAAAAAAAAGTGAAAAAGTAAAAAAGTGAAAAAGTGAAAAAGGGATAAAGGGGAAAAAAGGTCGTTTCGTTGCTTTCGAGCAACATCAATGATTCTATAGAAGAAAATGGAAAAAAGTCTTTTCTCGCCTTTTCTCTCTTCCATTTCTTTCAACGTTTTCCTAGCTTATACAAATATTTCACGAAGCTTGGTCACAGTAAGATAAACTGCTTTACAGAAAATGGGCTCCGTTCACGGCGAGGAGCTACCTTTCGTCTTTGGTGCTGCGCTCGTAGACGGATTCGCACACTTCCCAAAGAATTACACGCGATCCGAAGTGGCACTATCCGAGAGCATCGTTCAATACTTTGCCAATTTCGCTAGAACTGGGTAAGTCGATACGTCATTCAATCATCTTATTATTATGCTTTTTTCCTATCGTCGAATGACGAGTAGATAGATCAATATTATTTACACACAAACCAAACATTCATTAACATCTCTGCCTCTACGAAATTTCAAATAATTACACATATAGAAATTGAGTACATATTAATCGCTTGTAATTATTTATTCATTATGTGCTTTTGAACAACGTTTCACTAACTAAAATATGTTTAATACTATGTATCTATTTGGTATATTGAAACATGCAGTATTATATAGAAAATATATGTATAAGTATAGGTGCGCTCTTGCATCGTGAAAGATTTCTATCTAACTTGATTTCCATTATTCTTGGGTATCAACAAATTGGACCCGTTTTATAAAACACTTGCGGCGTGTCGTTAGTGATAGACGAAAACATTTGCATCTCTATTAGAAATTCAAAAAGGCCGCATAACATCTTGGTATCGCTTAACTGAGATCGTTTCGAACGTAGAAATACGGAGATGGGTGGTTCGTTTCAACGATACCAACGTGCTAATCGAGATTTGCATGGTTACCATCCGTATCGATATTCGCGATTATCCGTAAGATGGGCTGTTCGATTTGGAGATTCGCCTTCGATCGTATTCGTTAAAAAATAATGGCTCGTTGTCGGTAAACCAACGATAGAAGTGGTTTCATTCTTCATTCTCGTACCGTGAAATAACTTTTCCGTTTCTTCGTTTTTCGTTCATTCGTCGACGACATATGGTCAATTTTTGTCAATCGTTCGTCGCAACGAGCTCACGCTCGCGATACGAATAAACTTTCGTGAAAAATCACACACCCAGAGAGAGAGAGAGAGAGAGAGAGAGAGAGAGACAAAAGTAGAGAAAAAAAAAAGAGAGAAAATATTTGTTTTGTTCGTTTCGGCAAGGACGAAAGGAACGAATTTTCATCTCGCTCCTTCATGAATATGGAAAATTAGACCTTTCCGGTGGATAAGTCCGTTCGTTTCTTTTTTAACGCGCTTCCCGTAAATTGATTTCACGCGACACGGCTTGCTATGATGCTATTCGCGACGTCCATTTTTGATTCCCAGAATTTTCATTTCAAATTAAGACGAAATGTCGGAAACTGTTCTTCTTTGATTAATCTAGATATCGTTTCTCTCGATATTATTATTTTATTGTAGAAACTCCAAATGCAAACAGATCAATTGACGTAAAGTTTATCGTCGTAGAAATTGGACGCGACGGTTGGTCTCGATATCAAACACTAAAGATAACACAACATCGCAAAACTAGCAAGTTATTGGCGACATATGCGAAAGTACAAGACCCGTCCTTTCCATGAATATGTAAGAGCTAACTTGAAACAACCCAACGACGATATTTCGATTCGCGTATGCGTACAGTCTATGCGCTACAACGTGTCAACCCGTATTTTTCCTTCACTAAGATTTATCAATAAGAATAATTATTAAGATATTTATACACGTGTAAGTTTGAAATTGAATTATTCTTCTTCTTTTTTCTATCTACGATCTCAGCCCAATAAGATCTGACAAATTTGTCCTACTTGGTTCTTCCTTGAGTGTTGTTGTTTGCTCTTTTCTATTATGTATCATCTCTATCCTTTTCATTGGATTCTTGATAATGTAGCTATAGCTTCTCTTCTTTCCTATCACGTAAGCCCTATCATTCGATCATTTCCGTTCTTTTTCAATCCACTCTTATGTCTTTCGTTCGTGTTACTATTGTTTGACCCCCCCCCACCCCAATCTATTTGTACGACTTCTTCTTTCTTTTCACTATTCTTTCCCTTTTCTTTGTCTATTGTCAAAATGTCTTTTAGATTTACCAATTTGTACAACGATAATCGTATTTCGTGCTACCAAATTTCATTAATTTAATGTTCATTTACTAAACCATTAAAAAATCTAAAAAAAAATCTAAAAAAAAAATCTAAAAAAGATATTGAAATATTTCCAATTGAAAGGAGGCAGAAATTTTCTTTTGTATACAAGGTTATATAACGCGCGTCAAGCAGGAAGCATTATTGGCGTTTGTTGAGGAAAGAGCTAGAACCCCTTCAAATTTCCCAAGTTTTTCTTTCAACGTCTCCTTTGTTATACCTCCGCGCCTTTCATCCTACAAAAGCAAACGTCTTTGTGAAAGCGTGCGTATACCTACGCGTGAACATTGTTCCTTTGATCAAAATCTTCTATTATTTTAGTAATCATGGGAAAATCGATTTCATTTTCATTCGAGATCGAACCTGTAATGAAAGAAAGAAAGAAAGAAAGGTAGTCGCGTCTGTTTCACAACGATCGATATAATTGCTACGGAAGCCGGCATTAAATCGTCATTGTAGGGAGAGAGAGAGAGAGAGAGAGAGAGAGACGTTTTATTGACCGTGTACATATTATTATACCCCTCGGTATAATTTATCACAATTTACGTCCGCGAGACTGCATCGTCACACGTCGTAATTCAAACTTGACCGACGCTAACTCCAGAGATTATCTCCGCTGTCCAGCTGAACTCCAACCACTAGCCAGCCAACCCGCTTCTACTAGACCGGTTCTAGTGACACGTTCCTAGTGACACGCTTCTAGTAACACGTCCTCCAGTATCATTCTGCTAACTTGCTCACAATTCTCAATTTTGATTTAATCGCAAACGATCGAATCTCAAAATTAAATGAACAAATGTCTAACTATCGTTGCTTTTAGATTTTACAAAAATATCATAGCTCACTACAATGGAGACATATTTTTCATGAAATATATCAAATGAAACACGAAGGAAAGGAATTGGCATAATGCTAGAACGTAAATAGAAAAAATCTAAGAAAAGTAGTCGTAGTTGCAAGTAGAAACTGGAAGAAGGAAGAGACGACGCGCAAACATGATTTTCATGCGAATCCGTCCTAATAAAATTTGTCTCTCTCGGCATTGGAATACTTTTGCCTAGAGCGTGTAAGGTGTTGGTATCGCTCTATATCCTCCTTCTATTTCGCTCTATTTTGCTCTATTTTGCTCTATTTCGCTCTATTTTGCTCGTATAAGGGAAAATACATCTGTCTCCAGTGAACCATGAAGAAAGGTATTATGCCGCCGCGTATGGCTTCTTTTCAGGAACACACTTCTTTCTTAACGATCTATCTACATACCAGTATGATACTTTGACACGTCTCTCTCTCTCTCTCTCCCTCTCTCTCTCTCACCTTTTTTACCAATTCTCTTTGAAGTTAAAGATAATGCTGTTCTCTTAGAAATTGTCTACTAACTTTTCAAGTAGGTAGATCTGCGTATAAAAATATATCAAATAGAATTTTGTTTTATCATCGTCAAGAGAGCAATCGGAAGGTTCGATCTTTGCTAACACAACCAACACACAACCTATTTTTACTTGAAAATATTACTGCATAATAAAAGAATACAAGAATAGCGGAGTAAAGAACAAAATTCAGTTATATAATTCGTATAATAATAAAGATGCATTAATCGTCGGACAAATTTCGCGTTTCATGTCCATTTCTGGCTCTTTAGAGATTGATAATTGTAATGTTATTGGTTTTTACATGAAATCCTTTGCCCGCATATATTATCGTGTAGGAAATTATTGGAGTATCAATAAAATCCCAACGAGTGGGGACATTAAGGCCGATTATTCAAATAAATACCACATATATTCGATTAACCATTTAGCGCAATTAAATGTTGCATGTGAAACAATTGATGAATGATTTCACGAGCTGCGAGAAATATACGAAATACCTACTTACTTTGTATCACTAATGCCTACACTTTATCACGATTTTCCTATGAAAATATATTTCGGATTAGCATCATTGAATCGCTTATATCTTCAATGATCAGGCAAAAGAGTCAAAGTCAAAATCAACTCTGTCACAATCATTTTAAATATAAAACTTGATAACATATTGTCCATTAGAATTACAAAATATACATACTATAATGGAAAAACGGTAACAATGCTTGTCCTGTTTTTATATAATTTAATATGTAACATTTGTCCAAGAAAAGTTTGCGAAATAACAAATTTCCACTGATTGACGTTATTCGAGTATCGTTAGAAAATTTCATTTATTCGTTGCACACGACACTTCATTTCTTTGATCAAAATAATCGATAAAAGAAACGAGAATAGGAAAAATTTGCTATAAAAACAAGTAAGTATCTTTCGCTACTTTCAATATTTTCTCTATTGAACAATCTTCCAAGATTATTTCTCGATATTTTTAAGTATAATATTTCGAAAGGGCAAAAATATATATTCCATTGTCCAAGAGCAGATCGTTCGAGACCTTATCCAAGAGAATTACGACAAGTTCGACTAGAGCTTCGATGTAACTCCGTCCTCCGTCTCTCCCTCCGTCTCTCCCTCCGTCTCTCCCTCTCTCTTTCTTTCTCTGCTCGGTTTCCTTGCCCTCTGATAACCTCGAACCCGTTATCGATTCTTCACCCCACTTCACTACTCGCTTCCCTCGACACCCGAGTACATACCTACTTTTCTCTCTCTCTCTCTCTCTCTCACTCACTCATTCTTCTCTCCATCCATTATGCATACACCTAGCTTGAGAGAGAGAAGAGAGAAAAGAGAGAGTGAGGGAGATAAGGGAAGGACCTTCCAAGTAGCAGTTTACCTGTTGCAATACATGAAACTGTGTGCGATGTATCATCTCCAAAGATGCTACATAAATACGATATAAATAAAAGATAGTAATAAACATTAAACATTATTATTATTAATAGAAATATTGAAAATCTTTGTAAAGATTTTATCTGATACCCTACTTGTTATAAGACATGCTATCGTGATCAAAATGATTATAAGATATAAATTTGATGTCTGGCTTAAGTAACTTATTAGTAAATGTAACTTTTTTCGGACGAACTGTAACAATATTATGATTTGTTCGTGACGAGTCTAATACAGCTCCGCAATAAGTACGAAAGGTTAAATAATAGAACAATTCGAAAGAAGATAATAAGGAGTAACCCAAAAACAATCCAGCTATACCACCAAAACTGACCACCAAGTCCATATAACCAAAACGAACTTCTCTACGAAACAACATTTTAGGCCAGTTTAAAGTAATTTTGATCGGTGATAAATTGAGCGTATCGTTTGGATAGCCCTCTTTCGTTCCCAATAATCGATATACCGTAAAATTACAAGGTAATATGCACTCACAATCTATATAATTATCATACACCTTGGTTATACAAGAATATTCGTCGAGCGAACATTCTTTGACTCCTTCCTTAATCAAAAACCATGGTAAACATTTACATTGTTTCGATATATCATCAATTCGGCAACGCAATTGACAATTATTGTAAGACCACTTCTTTCTACGATAATGACACTGTCTTTGAAAATCCGATAACATTTGCAAATCCGGAGTTACGTAAGTCTGAAATACGTCAAGCTGCATAAATGCAGGTTTTCTAAGCTTGATGTGAGGCATAATGTTTCGACTAGGTCCCATATCGAATTTGTCCGCTATATAAAGTCTACAAAAAAAGAACAAAAATATGAATACAAATAAATAATCGCATTAAGAACATGAAAATATTTCTGTTAACGAAAGATATACGTCACTTTAGTGGAAACACGAGAGATTTCACTTCCAATACAAATGGCATATCTTCAAACACTACGAGCTTAGAGAAATTAAATTTGCAACATACTCCAGCAGGTGTGACAATCTTTTTAAAATCCCTTCCCCGAATATGTCTCTTATTTCTTCAACAAAAAAAAAGGAAGAAAAAGTGTCAATCAATTGTGAAAGAATAAATAAAAGGCTTAACTTACGTGGAAATAACGTTACTTAATACAGAATCGCATCTGGGTGTCCATCGTTGAAAGACATTGCGGAAATTTGTCACACCGGACAAGGTTTTTTTCGTTTCGTCGCTTATCTTTTCGTTCCACATCCATTCGTATATTTTAATATAATTCTTTTTTTCAACCTTTGGACAAAAAATGTAATCAATAATAATAATAATAATAATAATATATTGATTGAACGACAAGCATTGTAAAATTGTCCTACATTATTAATATCAGACAGATTAAATTGATTTCCTTCAAAGCAAAGAAATATTTGTGGAAAAGGTATTTCCGCTTCGTTCACGTGGACATCTAATTCAGTTAAAGTTGGATTATTTTGAAACTTATCCCAGATGATTTTAATCGTGATGACAGTTGCTACGATTGACGCAATCGTTAATAAAAACCATAATCCTCTAAAAAGAGAGACTAATAATAAATGTAAATCAGGTAAATGATGATTTGTAAAAATTACCTCTCCCATTTTGGACGAGTAGGATCGGCAAAGTATGGTACACCGTGTAAACTATTTTCTACAAGATATTCCTTCGATCTGCATTTCAAACTATTTCTCACATACGATAACGGAGGTAAATAATTGTACTTCATGTCGTTCGTTATTCGAAAAGCCTTCTTAAAGGCAACCACTTTGCAATTTCCTTTCGCGAAACCGAACAAGTATCCGTTCTCAATCCGTATGTGTTACTCCTTCCTGTTAAACTATCCTTTTATTCTTTGGATTTGTCTAATAGAAGTATGTAAAAAATCGATTTGCAGGTTGAAAAGCGCATGCGAGCTGTAACAATACATAACTAGCTTATCTAGCATTCATCACGAATAATTGTTTTTATTATAATGCATTTTATTACTATGCATAGAGTAGAATTTTTTCCATATTCTTTTGTAGATAATCTCCCCAAATGGCATCGATTAAACGAATCAAACAACAAACTATTATATTTGCCTTACGAAGAATGATGATCGATAATGCAAATCGAAATAAACGGAATTGTAAATCTCTGTTATGCTATTGCAATAAATATTTAAACGTATTGTTTCTACGATTATGCAAGAATATAAAGTCCGAATGATTTCATTTATATACACAGAGATACATACATACATGTTGTTCAATTGTTAATAATTAAAAACACACGTTCACCGTTACATTAACAAAGTTATGCATTCCATGAAGTAAAGTGTTCAAGTGTAAATATTGATCTTTTTATACGCGTCATAATACGCGTCGGCATTGCTTCCATAATTGAAAATATGATGAAAAAAGAATACTCGTTGAACAAATGTTATATTATATCTTCATTTGTGCACGATTATTAAAAGATATCGCAATACTACTGCTGCTGAAATATGTCGTATTTATAACATATATCGTATAGAATTCTTGTAGAGCCGCCTGGTGTACCCCTTTTAAGTCTCTTCATCTCATCTTTCTTTTCGTCGGAAAAGTGCACGAGCAGCAGGAGCTTTTATACGTTCGCGGTCTCATATTTCGAGCTTCAATTTCGGCGCGAACGATTTTGCTTGGTTTTCTCTCTTTTTTCTCACTTTTTCTCACTAAAGAAGTCAGAAGTCATTTATCGAGTCGCGAACAATCGAAATAAGCCATTCTCAGCTTGCGATTAGAAACTGAAAGCTTTCAAATGAACGTATTGAATTATTTTATATTGTACTGATATCATTTCGATTTGCCAATTTGCGAAATGAATATCAGTTCTATAAAGTTATAACGAAACGAACCACGATAGAAAATGTAAAGAAGAGGGTTAAATGCAGTCCGCGTTAAGTGCACGATCGCGTGTTTATTCTAAACTCGTGGATTATTACGTATTCAGTTTAGGTGTCACAGCACCTTGATCGTACTCGAGTAGAGGATGTTTCTTGAGAAAGGGAGTAGAGTGGGAAGCTTTAGCATAGCTGTTTAATCGTTTCCTTGTAAGCACGTGCGCACCCATGCGTATACGTGTGCGAGAGAGGCTCGTCGAATGACAAGGAATCTACCCTACAAGCGTAGAATTATGTTAGCTGACGAAGATCTAGAACCGAAGAGAGCTTTATAATGTCTCGGGAGCCGAAGGGACGATCGCGTACCGAACTTGCCCTTGCATTATAGATTATTCTCGGTCGTGTGGTTACACGATCCTTACTGTTATACCTTATCCGATAGTCTCGTTGGGAATGCATCCTCGTCCAAGTCCTTTGTCTTTAAGACTACATTCTCCTTCTCTCTCTCTCTATACATATATAACGTATATATATATATATATTAAACTCGTAGCAAACTATTAACGCGATAACCTATTTATAATATATAAGATATAATCAGCTAACAGGTAGCTTCTTTTGACAACTAATTGGAAAAGGTAAATATGGTCAATAAAATGTGATTGAAATATTCTTTGGAAAGGTTTGAAATTCTTTAGCAGATTTCTTATCACGAAATGGAAGTTATAAAAGCAAGAACTTGATATCCATATAAACGTATAAACGAATAAGCGAATAAACGAATAAACGAATAAAAGATGAAAGAATCTTCATTTTGTACTTCTCGGTGGAACGAGCACGTTCGCGTACCGTAATAGTTATCAAGGTAAAATACAATAGGATTTCATCGGAAACTACGGCCAAGTTTAGCCCGTGGGGTAAACTCTTCTCTGCTTATGCGTTACATCAAGGGAGAAAGATTACAGCGTAATCAAAGTTTTATTACTCTCTCTCTCTCTCTCTCGCTCTCTCGCTCTCTCTCTCGCTCTCTCTCGCTCTCTCTCCTTTCCTCTAGTTGTCTCTTCGAGTTCTCCTTTCAAAAAGATATAGAGAGAAAGGAAACATTTTAAGACCGCAAAATTACAAGAAAATAGCCGGAAATATCAGACTCTTACGACGCGAGATAAAATCTTCAAGATTAATGGTTAACTCTGTTTAAATAAAATACTCACCCCAATATGCCCTACTTTCGAATTACACCGAGTTTACCTTTCGAGAAAGTAAATCTTTAGGAGGCCCACCCTCCTAAGGTAAGATTAATGAATATGCACTTAAACTCTTTAAATGCGGACAAGCTTTCTTTCCAACTCGCACATGCGGATTATTTTTCATATTCAATACCTTGCATACCTTTTAATGGTATCATTTGCCAAATCGTCAAAGTAATAATAATCAAAGAGAGTGAGAAAGATAAGACGATAAAAGTTGCTCAAATGATTATTAAAAGGAAAATTGTTGATTTGGAAAAAAAAATGAAAAAAATGTAAAAAGCAAAAGAGAAAGAGAGATGAAAGTTGAGAAAAGCTTTGAAACCCTTAAACTAATTATAAAGGGTATCGCTGTAACTTTGGAAAAAGGCAAGAACGAGACAACGCAAAAGACAAAGAAGAAAGATAACATATAGAGGAGAAGACTAAACCCTCAAAGGATGTCGAAAGTGCGAGCTGAAAGTAAAGGCTGTTGCTAAAGGGCCTTAGCAAAGGGACGACGAGGGTATACCGAGCGAAGGCTAATGTAAACGGAACGAGCTAAAGCGTGTATTACTTCCGGCCCTCGAAGGAACGCTGCTGGCAAAAGCCACGAACGGGTCCCAGAGGATGGATGCGCGTCCTCCTCCCTTATATCTATATCTATGTATCTACTACGAAGGCTCTCATAGATGTATCTCGCTCGATGATAAGTCTCTTTTACCTACCTAGATCGAACCTATCCTGCTATGTGATATTCGCCATCCGGTTATGCCAAGAGATTTATTATATACCCATTATATGTACCCTAGACACGACCTTATTCCATCACAATTCAATTACAAAAGTCATTTTCTACAACGTCTTTATTATACTTTACTAGTTACTATGTCATTTTAATTATTTTGCAGGAATCCAAATGGCGTCGATCATCACACGAGAAACGACAGTGGGCTTTTACCTGCTAGCAGAGAAAAAAGTCGTTTTAGAAGTCTCACGTGGGATCAGTACGACCCTACGCATCAAAAATATCTCGAAATCGGTAAGTAATATTTCATGTATAGATAGATAATGTCTCTTCCAACGATATAGCAAATATTTGGATGCTATGCACGCTCGACTAATTTATGTAGCGAAGGAAATACGAAAGGAAAAGGTGATGAGAGGTGGAACGTGCTCGTCAGCGTTATCCTAATAACGTTCCTGCCAATGTATGTATTTACCTCTAAATCGATGGCAGAAATTGCCATTACATGCAACGCTAGTATTCTACGATTTCCACTTGCGCCAGGATCACCGTCATACACCCCCTAATGTTATTTTCCTCAGCGTTCGAAGATATATATTTTTTCCTTGATACGTCGATGGAATGATTAATTAACGGTAGGTAGATAGGTAGGTAGGTAAGTACCATCTATTTCCTCGAAGAGAGGGCCCTTTTTCCGAGTTTTCGCAATCTGCTATCGGCCCTCGCGAGAGTGACACCTTCGACAGATTGCACGACGATCGTTTTCCCCTTAAAAGGAATTTCGAAGGGTGGTGCTACCTATGGGGGAAACATCTTTCCTTTCCTTTCCTTTCCTTTTCCTATCCTTTATACGTGCGGAACCTGGGACAGACCCGTCTCATTTCTTTCCACTTAAGAAGATATCTCGATCTATCGCCTTTCATCTTTTTCTACGATTCTTTTTTATTCTTTTGTAGATTAATAACAATCGAATCGTCGAATTAATGACAATCGGACAGGACGACGTCGATCAAAATCCTATTGATTTCCCTACGAATGAAAAAGTTATTTTTTAGTTTCGCCAGTCGAGCGACTATTTCTAAAGAAAAAAGTATTGTATAAAAGTGTTCAAAGTTCGTCCCATCATCGGCAACATAAAGCATCATCGGCAGATATTCGCGCGGCAACTGTGGGGAGCTAACGCTTTGGTACTTTCAAGTCTACTTCAGTTATACACAATGTTGCACGCAAAGTGTAAAAGTTGAAGTTACACACAAACTCGGATAATCGATAAACCGCACCACCGATATCGACCCCTCCCCCTTGTTTAACTACCAACAAAGTATTCCACGATAACGCGCTAATGCACTCGCTTTTTTATTACAATGGAAAATTATTATTACGCAACGAGACATATTGTATCTTTCCTATTTGGTCAACAAGAGATTTTGATGGAATGTTATTTTGCTCTTCGTTATAACTCGATAACAAGAATTGGTGCTTTAGCAAGGAGTAAGAGGATAGGCAGAGCAGGTACGAGCGAATGGTCAACGGTAATCAAAGGATTCCACTGGAAAGCTCGAATGCAATTGCGTTCTTGTATTTTCAAAAGATGCAAATTAATTCGAACGTGGAGTGCAGGCCGAACGAGTATCACCAACGACACACCGGTCGTTTTCGGTGTTGCGCTTTATATGTTTCTCGTGACATGTGCTGCGGTCGACACGTTACAAACTTCCTCCTCCTTCGGTGGCTTTTCCGTCGAGTGATCCGAGAGGATAGGAGAACAACCGCAACGATGAACGCGATAATACAACCTACACATACCCCCCACGCACATGCTGCATTCGATGTCAAACTTTGACGATTCCCATTGCAATCGACGACTATTCCTTTTGGTTTTCCTTCCTTCAAGTACAAAGCTCGCTTAAAGTTTAAGTTATTTCTCATTAGGAAATCAGCTGGCATTCGAATCGTTAATACTGTAGTGTTTAATCATTCAAAACACGTTCCTCTCGTGCCGTAGGACAGTGCCAGATCACGCTCGTGTCATTGGTAAGCGATATCTCGACTCATTTCTTTCTTTTATATAATTAGAATTTAATTGGAGGAACGCAAGAGAGAAACTTTGCATAGACATGAACGATACGCGAGAACTCCCTATTTTATTACAATCAAGCCAGCCAAAATGACCTTTTTAAAATGAATGGGAACGTTACCCCTTAGTACTGGTCCTCAAGAGAATTTAATTACCAACACTTTTTCTATGTTTTAATAAACGAACACGCCTTAACTATTTTTTTCCTCTACCTTGCATATATCTTTTATTAACAAGAAAATATCTGAATATTTAAACTTTACTACAATTTTTATTGCACATGTTTCTTCGTTAAGAGATTAAAATATTTTAATAGATTTGAAGACATTTCTTAAGGCATCTTAAGTGACATAAGCTTTCCATTTTGACATACATAATTACTACTGCAAGAACATTGGCAAGTACATCTTCTACCATTGGCACCTTTTGGGCACATCAAATTGACCTCTACGTTATCGGCATATTCCCCTGCATCATAGATGACATCATTGATATTCTTCATTGCTAATCCTTCATCGTCACGTCCCTTGTTAGTTTGACATCCAGCAGATTTAGGATAATCGCAAACTTGCAAAAGTTTATTGAAATGAAGTAGACCCTTCTGATATTTTGGACAATCCATTTCGTATTTTTCCCCGTTAAAACATTTATAAAATTTCGAACAATTAGTCTCATGAGCAATGTGTACGGTATATTCTAATGTATCTACTTTCGGACATTTTGTTGGTATCGGAAGTATCGGCTTCTCACCAGGATAAAAACCGTACACACCGATCACACTGATCGTGAACACAATTATCAATTGGTAGCTTGCTAAGACAGAAAAAAAATCTTTTGCAAAATGATCTTTTAATATGTTAGGATATCATTATAGAATACAACTTACCCGCCATTCTAAGGAAGCTTGGTTCTGTCTGAATATACGAACGTTGACTGATACGAATGGTGGCAAAAAGAGGACTTTTATACCGATCAAAATCATTGTTATAAACAAGATTGCTTGTAAAGATATTTTTTATCGAATTTTTATCTATCGTAGCTTGCTTATCGGCAAATTTCTTTTCACTTTCGTTTACTTTGTAATGAAAACACTTTTGTTTTCAAAACTTGACTCCTGTCAATTCAATTCTATGTTTCAATTCTATATTGAAATAGCAAAAGGAATAATATGAAATAGTACATATACATACATATTTAAAAGGACAACTAAATATTAAAGAAATACAAGAAGTTTTGTTAATCAAATCAGCGTTCGTTTGCTTTAGACAATTTCGTCAATGATTGTGTCAGCTTGTGGTTTATATTCAAGCGATTTCCCCTATTCAATTTTCTACAGCACAATCGATCGGTACGTTAACGTCGTCATGTTACGTTCGGCCTATGCTTGATTAACACTAGATTGCCCAAGGCAGTCATTTTGACTGTTTTTTATTTTCAATTAGAAAAACAATTATGTATATAATGACACAATTTCTTAGAATTAATAATAATTAATTAATTAATATTGTTAATATTTACTAATAACTTGTTGTATAACTGTAAATAATATAAGAAATATTAAAAATTAATTTTAAACAAATTTGTTTACACATTAGTTATTTTTTCACAATGCAGTCATTTTGACTGTTTTTGGGCAATATAGCTATACAAGAAATCTCGGGCAATCTAGTGTTAATAGTTCAAGTTGTCAATGACGCCGATTATCTCTCTTCAAATCTTGTTAGAAGATTAAACAAATTTTGTTGAGAAATGAAGAAGAAACATATGTAACATTATTTATATGAAATATTCCCTAAACAGACTTTCTATATATTATAAATAATTCAGTCGAATGATATCGATCGCACGGCGATAGTTTGGATGATTCATATTTATATTTGCGTAAAATTTTCCTAAAGAAAACAGATTTATTATCTACAATATTACGATTTATCAAGGTAGCTTTTTACGATTAAATTATCATTCGCGGAAGTGAAAATTAAATTGTTATCGTTTAAAATATCGCTGGATGTCGTAATACGATAAAATAATCTTCTTTGTTTAATAAATCATCATCAATTGCCATAATACATACTTTGTTTATAATTAATCCGATAAGTACACTTTGCTTTTTCATATATATCTTCGATCAAATTCAATAACGAATAAAATTTCATTTGAATAAATGTCATGTTTGTCAAGTTTCGTTAAAGCACAAATTAGTCGTGAAAAAGAATTCATTAGAAATCATTTGAATTTGTTTGTTTAGGAATGAGGCCGAAAGTGAAAAATCATTATCGAGCTCATCAGCTTTCCGTATGGCTACGACTCGTACCGGAACTTCATCGTGCCGGAATGGAGGACGTTGATTCGAGACACAATCTGTTCCGAGGACACGCCGATCCGAGCCTTTACGACGGTTTAGTCAGGCCTGATCCTTTGAGTAGGATCACTGAAGAATTTAAAAGGAAGAATTTAAGTACCGAACCACCGACCACAACTGACTACAGCATCACTACCTGCGTCAGTCTTATTCAAAGCACGAATCTTCAAAATATGCACAACGCCAGCACCGACACTTTGGCCAGTCTCGATGCAGCTGGGTAAAAAGCTATTATACCTAAAAACAAACATATTCAAACACCTGTATGCTCTATTTTGTGTTTATTTAATGACTCTTCTAGATACGCCGCATATTCGACAGCATTGAGTGTGACGATAGCGATCGGCTGTAGTCTACTTATATTGAACGTTCTCATATTCGCCGGTGTCTATTATCAACGAGACAAGACGAGACTCGAGGTCAAGAGCCTGCAACAGCAACAGATGTTGAATCAACAGTGTGGCCCGCGAGGTTTCAACGAGTTGAAACAACCACCTCCGTCGCATTCGCATTTCCCTGGTAGCGGTCAAGTTATCGTCGACGTTGAAAATGAAATGCTAAGAAGGTAAATCGAACTATTTCATAAGAGGTAATTTCATTGAAATAACCATTATGACCATTTGATTTTCCTTTTAGAAACGTGATGAAGGGACCTCCGAACGAGCCTAACACTTTACAAGGTACACACACCCTGCCACATCAACATCATTACCAAAAGCAACATCAGCAACAACACGCTACGCTTCCTCGTGCTTCGGTAATGCAAGACATAAATGCGCAAACTCAAGTAAGGAAAAGAAGCTCTTATAATTAAAATAATTATTTATATGATTACAATGAGAAGACTTAAGAGACTGGCGTTTCTGTTTGTTTTCTTTTTTAGGGACCACCTAACGGATCTATACACCTGACAGTACCGCGTGCTCCACCACCACCCCGTGCGAAGAGTCCTCCAGAAAACCAACCCCTTTTGCAAAGTACAACCGTCTCGAGCCGCGTCTCGCAAGCAACGATGAGCGAAATGCGAGTCTGATGCTTAGACCCCCCTCCGAAGCCGGTCGTCCCGGACGTCCTAACGGCGTCGACCTTGCTCTAAGACTCCTCGTCTTTCTAATCAAAAACTAGACGAGGAGATGGGAGGGGGGGGAGAGAGAAAGAGAAAGAAGCAACCACTTTACGTACTTTCGCGCCCTTACACGCCTATACGCGTCTTCCTTTTTATTCATATAATTGGAAGAAAAAACAAACTAACTCGAGGAACTCTTATCGATTTAACTCTTATCATCGATCGCTTACTACTTGGACGAAAGGAAAAACAATCAAACTTACAATTAGCCTAAATCAATCATCTCTTCTCTCTGTATCAATATACATTTTTCATTCTTTTCTATCCTACAAACTCTTTGACACGCAACCCTGACACATAGATATCAAAATATAATATATATATATATATAAAGTCCGTCACTCGCATCCTCAGTGGCAAATTAAACTAATCCTAAGTATTCTAAGCGGGTTACGCAAAAATCATTCTTTTTGTTATTTTCTAAATCATTTGATTTCGCATTTGAAATAAATTGAAAGATTAAATCTATCTTAAGATACGTATACACTGTCTTAAACAGGATATATACCGTGTAGGTATCAACAACGATAGAAGATAGAGATCAATTTTGAAAGGCGTATGATCGATCAAAAAATACATTTCCTCTTCGATAATTAATAAAACAGAGAAAAGAGATTTCAAAGAAATAAACGCGACAACAAATTCGCATATAAATTACTTATCTACCACGATGTTAGATGTTCTTTGTAAATACATAAGGTAACACTTTATACCATAAACCCGCCAAAGTTTGCTACTTTCTAAGAGGACGAAGACGAAAACGAAGATAAAGAAGGTGAAGAAAATTGCAAAGGAAAAACTTTAACGCGTATCGTTTTTTCGTTCGTATTCCGTTTCTACGTTAAGAAAGATACTGTGCATGTGCGCGTGTGAGTGTGCGAGTAATGTTCCGGATGGCCAGAAATAAACTACGAGAGAGAGAGAGAGAGAGAGAGAGAGAGAGAGAAGAGCTTTGTACATCTACAATGATTCTCCTCGTGGCTATTAGACGATCCTTCAAAGTCACAAGCAAAAGCTTGTCTACTCGATTATTTATCTCCTATCGCGAACACATCAATGATTTATACGGGAAGTGACACTCTGAAGCGCGATGTCTATGATTTATTACAGCGTCTGCGCGTGTTTTACCAAAATACCGCTGTGTTAAGATTTTATCTATTTTATATTTACATTTCTTGCTGTACACCCGACTTGACCAGCGAAAAATCCATAATTTATAAATGTTGGATCGTGAAAAAATCATTTTACGTATTATTAGGGTGTACAAAGCTGTCATGGATGCATCATTGCAATTCATCGGGAAACTTACCACCACTTGTTCTTAATTCTGTGTAAATATGTTTTATCGTAAAAATACTTTAAATACTGCCATATTAACTGCTGCCAGATTTAAATCATTTACAATTGATTGTATTGTTCAAACGAAAAGGGAGGAAGAAAATCTATTACCACGTAAAGGCGTAGACGTCGATACCATCATCTATGTACCTACTATGCATAGATGAAATATTGGTACATATCGATAAGAAAATCAATATTATATAGTCAACAAATAAGTTCATTAATTGTATATTAAATCTATATATATATATATATAAATATGTATGATAAAGTTGTAATTTTCATGATTATCTGACAATTGATGTTATTAAAAAAAATTAATTAACAACCGTATAAAAAAAGCATTTGATTTATTTCTTTCTAATGCCTCGTAGGCATTACGGTATCGATATCAACGCTAATACAAGAGTATATCAGTTTTTTTTTGGTTGGATTTCTTTTGAATTCCCTTTGTCTACCCGATCGATGCAAAATGAAAATGAACGGCCAACTGTTTATCTCGCACCGTATATGTATGTATATGCTATTCGTGAATTTTTTGTAAAAATATGATTATACATATAGACTAAGTAAGATTAAAGGATAAGGATAAGAATTCGTTACGCGTATTACACTGCCACGATATTGAAAGAAAAATTTCAGAGGATAATATTATAAACAATCAAAAGATTCGAGAAAAGTGTTGTAAAAGGGAACGTCTGTGACTGATCGAAATGTGTATGAAAAACTATCGAATGTAGACTTACGTAATAAAAGCCGAATCAAAACTTTTGTACATAAACTTATCGACAAAAAGTAAGAGGGGGGGGGGAAGAAAAAAAAACGACACAAAATTACAAAAAATATTAATAAGACAAAATCAAAAATATGTTTTGCGTGTTTTTCGATAAGACATAAGAAGAGAAGAAAAATGAGGAGAGACTTGTTAGCGAATAATCGTGCTACTTTGTAAACGAAAATACTTGAATAGAAAAAAAATATAAAGAAAGACGACAAGCATGCAAATCTTTTGTGAAAAAAAGAGGGCTGGAGGGCCACGAGGGCGATTACGCGATATCATCAAGTATGGACAATCTAACTATATTTCAAAAATACAAGTAAAAGAAAAGGAAAAGAATAAAGATTTAAAAATGCTGGATATAGTATTCGTTATAAAGAAATGCAGAAAAAGGCATTACTCGGGAGAGTTAACGATGTTAAGAAATTTAAATAACATA